CACACACACACACACACACACACACACACACACATGTTTTTTGTCCTTAAAGATTTTTTTTTAGTAAGCTCCATACCAATGTAGGGCCTTAAGCTCATGACCCCAAGATTAAGAGTTACAGCAGACGCACCCTCCTTAAATTTTTAAATAACTTCTACTGTGATTCATTCACAAAGGGAACAGTGGCCTATTTACCTGAAATTGCAGTTTTATGTAGAAAAATACCAACTTAATTAATAGATTATATGTATAAACAACTCATTTGCTAGAGACCACCTACACCACTAAAAAGACCATCTTCTCTTCTCTTGGAAAACTTAACAGAAAGTGCCATTTTAATTTACCGCAACAATAACATGACTGTGCTCATCTGTGCTTTCTTTTATAATGGTTGTACCTGGGGAAAAGTGAGTGGACTCTGTGCGGGAATGGAGACTAACACCTTGACAACCAGGAAAAAGAAAGAAAAAAAAAAGAGAACTTGGAAATAAAAAAGATAATTCAAGCGTAATCCCAAACCAACCCGAGTTGTCTGTTTAAACCTTCCCCTCAAAACGTTGGCATTGTTACCAAAGGACTTTTTTAGACTGTAATAAGAAACAAAATAATCACTGCAAATTCACAGTCCCTCTAAGCATGAAATATCATATCAGGAATTTTTCTGCATATCAGTATCACATCTTCTATTAGATTCCTTTTCTATGTTAAATTTACCAAAGTGTATAACTAATTTTAAAAGCTGCATATACTCTGAATTATCTCCATTGAAATATATGGCTAATTGTAGCATTCATAAAAATTCTTGTCAAATTAAGGCTAGTGAAAGTTGCCAACATCGCCACTGTCATAGGTTATTTCTGCCGGCTCCCTGAGAATCTAGGCCCCCTTTTCTTTCTCCTAACAATTAATGCCCATTTCTGTGTACAGTATTTATTCTGTCTCCCAATAAGTACTTCAGAAGAAGATAAGAAGATGCCCCCACCACACACACACACACACACACACACACACACACACACACACACACACGCATCTAACAGTGGGCCACGGTCCTCCCAAGAGTAATGCTATCTCCCTTGCTGGTACCTACTTAGGAACACAAGCACCTGGCATCCCCGACCCCAGGGACTGTA